AACTTTTTCCAGATCTGGATCTGGGTATGGGCAAGATATACTCCATGAAAAAAAGAGCAACAACAAAACTCTTAGCCAATATTTCCTTTGTTAAAAAGTTGCGTTCAGGTCATTTAGTTCTGTTCATGACATCAAGGATGCCTATTTTTATGAAAAGCTGGTTTTACAGCAGGAAAATTGGCCTTTTCGTTATGATGCCTAATGATTCATGGTTGTTAGAGAACTCTTTCATAGAACAAAGCAGATTGGATTTGCTGGGGGAATTTGCATTCCACAGCATCTCTAAGGATCTCTATGGAGGCCAGGGATTTAAGTACTGGAAATTGTGTTTGGGCTCCAAGTTATTCGGTTCCATTTACTGCAGTCTCTGAGGGCAATTGTAAAAACTGGTAAAGAGGCAACAGTGTGAGTTGATGCAAGACACCACTGCCAGCAAAAAAGACCCAGGGGCCACCAAGGGTCTCAGCTCTCAGTAATAAGGCAGAGATGCTCACTAAGAATGGAAAGAAACATGGACAGCAGAGAAAAGTAGCCATAAAAGAGGAACCAAAATGTACGTAGAATGGTTTAACTTTTTAAAGTTACATCAGTAATTGTGGATTAATAGATACTATTAATTTATACTATGTATAAAACATAATCAACATAATCAACAAGGAACTATTGTGTGGCATGGGAAACTACATTCAGAATCTTATAATAACTTGTAATGGAAAAGAATCTGGAAAAAATACTATATATATGTATAACCAAATATTATATATAGTGAAATACTATATTAATATATTAATATAGTAATCCTAATATAGTAATATAGTAAAATACTATATATATACTATACTTATCTTCTATATATAACTGAATCATTTTGCTATAGATCAGAATCAAATACAACATTGTAAATCAACTTTATTTCAATAAAAAGTTGTTTGTTTTGAAATAAATTTCATACTCTGTCTGCCTTGGGATAACCACAGTTTTCAAGCCTCAGAAGCATCTCATTGAGCTGTGAGAGGATTCTTTCCTATACACACTTGCTCAACTCACCTAAGTTCCTGATTCTTCCATTTATGTCTACCTAAGTGCTAGTTACTAGTAATCTTGGGCCAGATCATGTTTTATCACATTTATTCCACGCACATACTGTACTGAGAGTAATAAATATCCTATTTCCTAAGTTCTATAAAGTCCACTCATCAAGTTAACCCCGGGGTATATGGAGAATACTGTATTGATACAGTATTGATACAGTAAGGTGTATCCCTACTTCATAAATTTTATTTAAAATATAAAAGAAGAGAACTTATCCTAGAATAGGGTGCTTGTGGAACATTTAAGAGCACAATTTATAAGCATATGGCTTTAAATCAGATTGATTCAGGATTAAATCTGGGCTCTGCCATGGGTGAGTGAGCTGAAATAAGTTATTTAAACTCCCTATGTTTCAGATTCTCATCTTTAAATCAGGATGATGGGAATTATTTCACAATTTTTTGAGAGACTTAAAATAATGTTAGCAAAACAACAATACAATTGCCAACATTATCATTCTTCTAGGTTTGAGCTAAAGATTCAAACTGTGATGATTGTCAACATATAGGGACTTGGAGAGGGAGTAAGCCTAATGATTAAGAACTTGGAACGTGATATGTGGGTTTCAACCTCAGCTTTACAACTTCTTAGCTGTGTGACCTTGGTCATACTCACCCTTCCCAGACCTCAATTTTCTCATTGGTAAATAGGATTAACAAGAGTACTGATCTCCAAGAGTTAATGGATTAAATGATTATATAAAAAATGACCAGCCCAATGCTTGGTACATGGTAAATATTCAATAAATACTAGCAATTTTTCTTGTTATTATTATACTATACTTAAAGATTTTTTCTACTGCAATATAAAACATAAAACTTACCATTTTAACCATTTTTAAATGTGTAGTTCAGTGGCATTAAGTGCACTCATATTGCTGTACAACCACCATCACCCTCCATCTTCAGGTGAAAATCACTCAGTCATGTCCAACTCTTTGTGACCCCATGGACTGTATGTACAGTCCATGGAATTCTCCAGGCCAGAATACTGGAGTGGGTAGCCCTTCCCTTCTCCAGGGAATCTTTCCAACCCAGGTATGAAAGCCAGGTCTCCCACATTGCAGGCGGATTCTTTACCAGCTGAGCCACAAGGGAAGCCCCTCCATCTCCAAAAATGAGAGAAAAAGTCCTAGGAGCCCGAACATTTAAAGAGAGAGCAATGGGAGACTTACTCCCTTAAGAAAGCTCGATTCTTTGAATGGTGTTAAGTAGAGGCAGGGTTTGGTCTCATTAGTGGGGAGTTGGCAAAACATGTCAAGAATCTTACTTAGGACAGTGGCGTTGGACACAGTATGTTCAAGACTAAACATACATGCACACCAGGGAAGTCTCACAAACAGAGATCATGCTAGCATGAACAGCCTAATCAGAACCTCACAGCCCCTTCGAGAAGGATTTGCAGGGCTCTGGGCTTCAAATGTACCTTGCTCTTCATCAGATCTTTAGCCCTCTGTGCTGCCCCCAAAGAGTGCCATCTGCAACCAGCATAGGACGAGACCAAGCATCATCACCTAAAGGCTATAATTTCAGAAACCTAGCTGATGGTAGAGCCAGCATTTCAGTCTGGGCCTGCCTTCTGCTAACTCCTAATTCAAAAGCAATATGCTCTGTGCCAGTCCTGAATGAGGCAAGAACTCCTCCCACATTCAGCCAGGAATCCTCTGAATCCTTGTTCTGGCTTGGTCATCTCTTGGAACTCTGTGTCTTTAAGACTTCTACAGAATCAGAGTGTCCTTCAAGTGTCTAATGGACTAGACACATTCTTGATCATACATTTTTTAGCTTGCCAAGGAAATTCAAACAGTAGCTCAGGCTCTGACTTCCCAGTCTCTTCACTAAATGTTCAAGTGATGCGGTATGCATTACAGCATAGTAGAGCCATGCACAGAATAGATCACAGTCCAGGATCTCTCCCTGATCATGACCCGCTTCTATTTCAGGTTCTATAAAAAAGGTAACTTAAATAAGGAAATCACTTCTAATATCTTTTGCTGCCTTCCAACAATATGATTTTTTTTAAAAATTAGATTTATGTCACACTTGTAGCATACCACATAATTTAACACTTCCAAAGCAGTCCCTGAAGCTCTATTTTTCTCTGGGGTGAGTTCACTCATCCCAAGTGAGAGACATACGAGTAGCCCAAAGCCTGCATACTTCCTTCTAGAAATAACTGTCATGATTTGATGGTGACTCCTCAATAATTAAGGTGTTATCACAAGTTGAAAAGCCATTTCAGGAGATTCAAAAGGCAAAAATAACTTCCTTTCTATACAATGATTAGACACCAGCTATAACCCTTTAATAGGGTTGAAGCAATGATTAAACATGTGATGCATGTAAATATATTTTGCATACTATAATGGGCCTTACATATGTAAGGAATAACTGTTATTTTTATTACAAATGAACCTGTTATGCTACTGCTGCTAAGTCACTTCAGTCGTGTCCCACTCTGTGCGACCCCATCCCTGGGATTCTCCAGGCAAGGACACTGGAGTGGGTTGCCATTTCCTTCTCCAATGCATGAAAGTGAAAAGTGAAAGTGAAGTCACTCAGTCTTTTTATTTATTTGCTTGTTTATTTTTGGTTGCCTTGTTTATTTTTCATTGCTGCACGCCGGCTTTTTCTAGTTGCAACCAGAGGAAGCTATTCTTTGTTGTGGTGCATGAGCTGCTCACTGCAGTGACATCCCTCTGTGGAGCACTGCTTCTAGGTGCATGGGCTTCAGTAGTTGTGACTCGCAGGCTCTAGAGCTCAGGCTCAGTAACTGTGGCACACATGCTTAGTTGCTCCGTGGCATGTGGGATCTCCGGGGACCAGGGATCAAATCCATGTCCCTTGCATTGGCAGGTAGACTCTTACCCACTGGAGGACCAAGGAAGTCTGAATTTTATGTTGTTTTAGAGCTTTTGGTACTGTTTCTGCTTTGTGGGACAAATACATTTTCATCCTTCTCTTTGACAAATCTGAGATATTGAATTGAAGATTCTGTAGAATGCCACTGAATTCATGTGGCTGATGGCTAAGGCTTCTAAGAGATTAACCATAATTGGCTAAATTAGCATTTGGAATTATGTCATCATGAAGACCCAGAAATGAGCAAAAGTGAAAGCCAATAAGGTGGGGCTTTGTTTCCTCTGTTCCAAATGTTTTATATTTTTGGTATAAAAAAAGATAAATTGCCAGCACTGCTCACACACAATTCAACATAAAACTCTTTCTCTCTCCCCAATCCCCCTCTCTCCCCCTTGCTCTTTCTCTCTCAAGCCCCCAAGATATTGTGCTCTTCTCTTGTAGGTGAAACAATAAAAACATTCAAAAGAAATCAACTTCCTAAGCAGTAATTTTGTTTGTTTTGTGAACAGAAAACTTCACCAAGTTCCCAACCTCTGGGGAGAACTTTATCAAAATTACTTGCTACCTGTTAAATAAGATACCAAATCTTTGGAGCTTATTCACTTCAGAGAAATCTGAAATATAAATTATGTATCATACTTGGCACTTGAGCTACACCTTTCTCTGAAAGCCCACCAAGAACTCTATAGTTTAATTAAGTCTGTGAATTTAGATAGGGCAACAGAGACATAGACGAAGTGGTCTACCCAAAGTGAACACCAGAGGGATTTTCAAATCCTTTTTCCTAAGTTATTTTTTCTCTCTCTCTGCCCTATCTTCTATCTTTCCCCCCTCATTCCGCTTCTCTTAGCTTATTACTGAGGATTCTGTCAATATAAAGTTTGGCTCATCATAGATGCTTGAGAAATATTTATAACTCAATGAAAGAAGACTCATACCATAGATACCAGGGAAATAAATTGAAGCAATTTGCCAGTGAAGATATTATTTGCCTTAGAACAATAAGGCATTGTGACTCTGAACATAAAAATTCTGGTTGACCTCACTTTAAATTCAAGGCCACAGATCTCAGATGGACTTTCACCAAGGCCTGGTAATCCTACTGTATAGGACATTCAATTCTCCACTTTATCCCAAATCATAAAGCAAGAACCTTAGAAACCCACAGAAATCTTTGGTAGACAATCAAATACTAAAATAAAAACAAATTTACAGGTAGAAGCGAGCCCAGCGTGGCTTAAAAAAAAAAACTCTGCTTTAGATGAAGGCTATGCATAAGGAGAGGAACATCTAAAGGCCAGTCAAAAGTCTTCACTGGAGCTTGAAAATCCACAGCTCTGAGCCTCCACGCACCGTCATTTGAAACCAGATGTCAAGCCCTCCTTTCTTTTCAGATATTCAGTGAGTATACCCACAGGAAAATCAGAAACTCATTAACGCTGGTTATTCTCTGCCTTCTCCATTCGATCTCATGCCAGGGAAACAGAAGAGAGACCTAGGGCTAGTGCATCTCCTCCTATCCTTGCCGGAGAAGCTCGCTACCATGGCAACCACACGCACAGACAGACATTTGCAGAACCTCAGAAGTTCAAGTGTTTAATTTAGCACATGCCTAGAATCACAGATATAGGCACTTTGTATACTCGTAATCTCTGGCAAATGACAAAATTTAAAGCAGCAGTTGTAGCCTTCCAGCTTCCTTAATTGTTATTTCCCCTGAGAATGCTTAATGGAATTCATGCAATGTAATCAAACTTCTACAAACATTTCACGTTCATGTCAGCTTTGACCAGGGTCCAAATGACGATAGCAAGTGACAAAGGAACAGATAAATAAATACATCTCACTTGTGTTCCTCTGCCCTGCTGCACTTGAACTATTGTAATCGCCCATTATCTCAACCCCTGCTTCCACTCTTCTCCTTTTCCAGCCCGTCTCCTCCCCCAAATTGAGTGAGAACATTGCAGCCAGAATGTAAATCAGATCATACCGCGTTCCCATTTAAATCTCCCCAGTGCCATTTCATTGTCTGGGACTCTCTGGCCTTTGGTTGAGCCGCCCTTGCACTGTCCAAGAATGCACTCGCCACTGCCTGCAGTCAGTCCAGGTTCTTCCCGTGAGCAGCTCCCAGCCCAAGAAACTCCACCCTGGTCTCCCTGTGTGCACATGGCCCCATTCAGGTGGTGGTTCTTCACACACCTCTCCCCTGAGAACTTCATCTACACAGATCTCCCCCTTCATTCTGCACCAGAATACCCCAATCGCTTTCTTCACAGCCACTGTCTCAGTTTGCAAAACTTGTTTATAAATAGTCGTCTTTGCTTATTCCCTTATCTCTTCCCTCAAAGACTGGAGGAGACTGTCTGTCTTACTCTCTGCTGTAAAGCAAGTTTCTAACTGTGCCAGACACCAAGTCAGTGCAATAGATTTTGCTTAAATGAACAAATATCTATCATTATGCAAAGAGGATGACAGCTATTGAGGGGACACGTCTGCCCCCAGAAGAGATCAAATTGAAGCCTGGTGCCCAATGATTACATGTACCCATTTAGCCCTCTATCTCTTTTCTGTTCTGTTTTCTTGCCCTTTGTCCAAGTTTGGGATTTACAGAACTTGGGACTTTTCAATGTGGTAAAACCCTAGGAAGCTCAGAATCAGTCTACTGCTTATTTCATTCTGAGAGATTTTTGACCCCTGTGTATTTTAAGAGAAATCTAACCTTGATTCATTTATACTTGATGAAAACAATTTCATCTAATTGCCCTCAAAAAAAAATTTTTTTTTAATCAAAACCTTTTGCTGATCCAGGAAGTCATATTTTGTCAAGACTTGATAACTTGAACCCGGAGAGGTTTGAATTCTACTGCAACCTCAAAAACCACAAAAATGGAAGAAATTTGGAAAGTCAGATATGTCCTTGTGCCTCGTCAATAGGGCCTAACATTTTGTTCATCTTGGGAAGATTTGTGTGTTACCAGTTACATCCCCATTGTGGTTTCTTGGTACAGACACGTGATGCAATGTGGTGACTCTGATGTTAGAAGGCCATTTTCACAGCAACCCTTTTTAGCCTTTGGAGTTTCTAATGTAACCTTTGAAAACAGCTGGTCCAAATTCCATCTTGCCCTGGACCCACACATCCCTCCTCTGCATTGTGCTCAGATTGAGGACAAAGGAAGTTCAAGAAGGATCATGGAGCAAGATCTGATTTGGCCAAGCGATTACAGCTGCTTTGCAAGCAGCCACCCAGAATGCAGATTTTATTGTTGTTTTTGTTTTTTTTAAAAAAAACTTTTAATGACTTATGGATCTGTACACTTTGATACTTTCTCCCCCAGAGTTGAGACAGAAGGCTTAACCCTACCGGGTGTTTTTCTACCCAGTAAAACCCTACACATTCATGAAGAAATCCTCCTCATGGCCTGGTTAACTCCCAAGATATACAGAGACTGTCACAGCCCTGAATTTCACTCAATGAGGTCCAGTAAAATTTAATTTAATGATGGATGTGACACCTTCTGACCTTGAATAAGCAGGCAACAGAGTGTAAGAGAAAAGAAATCCAGCATTTAGCTTGGAGTCCAAGAGTCTTAGCTTATGTCTCCGCTCTTTCTCTTGTAAATTATGTTAACTTGACCTCACACTTCTCATACGAAAAGCAGAGCTAAGTAATAGAAACTTGTATATCAGAGGATTACGATGAGATTACTTACTTACTTGAGTAAGTTAATGTAGATAAGATGCTTAGCAAGGGGCCTGACATATATCATTTTCTCAATATGTAAAGCCAGTATCATTACGACTTTTTTCCCTTCCTTCAGAATGAGGAACAGGGAGCAGTAAAGCTGTCTGAGGTGGAATCTGGGCATTTAATCGGGGTCCCTCAGTAGTGAAACACATGTGGGTATGCATCCACCTTAGCACGTACAATTCAAATTCCTACTACAGCAAAACGGTGAGTGACTTCATGGCATGAGTCTTAGGGACTGCTTTGGAAGAGACTTTAAACTCCAAGCATCAAGTGTCTACGATTTTAAAATTTTTATTTACTGGAATTTGAGATATGAAATGAATTAGAATTCAACTACATATGGAAATATTTTTCACCTCAAAATGAAGTTTTCCTTAAAATCCTATGTTAGAGAGATAAATATATCTTGTGAAAACAGAACTTGGTATAACCATTTTGGAAAAGAGTTACAAAAATATTTATTGAATTCTTTGAAAGTTTATGCAATTTCACTTTCCTGCATTTAATATGAGAGAAACACTTACCTGCAGAAGCATGTACAAAATATTAGGAAAAATCTGATTTGCAATAGTGAGAAACTGGAAACAACCAACAATCAAAACCTAGCCTCTTTTAAGTTCAATTCAGTTCAGTTCAGTTGCTCAGTCATGTCCGACTCTTTGTGACCCCATGAATCGCAGCACTCCAGGCCTCCCTGTCCATCACCAACTCCCGGAGTTTACCCAAACTCATGCCCATCGAGTCGGTGATGCCATCCAGCCATCTCATCCTCTGTCATCCCCTTCTCCTCCTGCCCCCTATCCCTCCCAGCATCAGGGTCTTTTCCAGTGAGTCAACTCTTCGCATGAGGTGGCCAAAGTACTGGAGTTTCAGCTTCAGCATCAGTCCTTCCAATGAACACCCAGGACTGATCTCCTTTAGGATGGACTGGTTGGATCTCCTTGCAGTCCAAGAGACTCTCAAGAGTATTCTTCAACACCACAGTTCAAAAGCATCAATTCTTCGG